TGCAAATGGAAGTGCAATCCCACCCGTAATGGTATTTCCGAGAGTCCATTTTAAAAGCCATATGTTGGCGGGAGCGCCATGTGGGACGTTAGGCTTGGCTACGAAAGCAGGATGGATGAACACAGAATGTTTTATTGAAGTTTTAAAACATTTCATTAAACACACTTGTAGTTCAAAAGCTAACCCTTCACTATTAATCATGGACAACCATGAGAGCCATATATCTCTTGAAGCTATCATTCTGTGCAAAGATAATGGGGTCACTGTTTTGACTGTGCCTCCTCATTGCACCCATCGGTTGCAACCATTAGATGTGGGTCTGCTAAAACCGTTTCATATATTTTACAACGATGCTTTAAGTTCGTGGGAAAAAGCTAATCCGGGCACACCTGTGACAATCTACCATGTAGCATCATTTGTGGGACTCGCTTCCCTTTGACCGTCACGTATTTAATGATGATGATTATTTCGCAAGCCAAGTTACAGATCGACCATTAGTTAATTCACCAAATATTGATCCAAAACCATCTACCTCGACAGGAGGTACCACAGATAACTCTATCAAGAACCAGGACGTAAACTCATTACAGAAATTGTCACCTTCATCCACAAGTGGAAGAAAATTGACATTTGTAAGTCCATCAGCTATTCGTGAATATCCAAAAAAAAGTCTGACAATTTCGGTTAAAACTAGAAGAAAAAAAGGCAAGACTATGATTGCTACTGACACTCCAGAGAAAAACGAAATTGAAAGTAATAGAGCCAAAAAAGCGAAAACAGTTAAAAGAAGCATAATCTCAGAAGACATTAAAAACAATGATGATGTTATTGAGTCGGAAGACGAAGATGGTAAAACTTATAGTCTCCATAATTCTGACACGTCAGAGGGAAGTGAAATATTTTCAGATAGTGATGATGAAGACCTATGTGATTTGACATTAGATCCAGCCAAAATTTGCGACATTAAGATCAATGATTTCTTATTAGTGAGACTCAAATATGAAGCCCATTCCAATAAAGAAATCGAAAAATATTATATTGGGAAAGTTGTGGTGATAAACACCATTGGTACGATGGAAGTCAGTTTTTTACGTAAAAATTCAAAAAATGTCACATGCTTTTGTGTTTCCATGTGTCACAGACATTGGTGTTATATTCAACAACCAGATTATAAAAATTTTGGACCATCCAAAAATTAGCAGGGGTCGACACTTTTTTCCTAATGTTAAAACGGACTTGATTTCATAGAAAACAACAAGCATTTATAATATTTTTCTATAGATCAATAATAAAGATACGTTTTTATTGTTTAATTAGTCCTAAATAATAATACTTACATATTACAGTTGAAAAATGTCTTTGTGTCAGTGTACCCTTCATACCAGGGAACACTGACACAATGCAAAGTTTCAGACTTTTTTTTAAATCTATTTGTTTTCTTAATTTATAGCAATGTAGTCATTCATGATGTATTTGCAACACAATAACACGTCCAAATTGATATTTGCAAGTAAAATCCTATTAATGGTCTAGCGATGACAGAAATTCAAATTTTTCTGTGTCACTGTACCCACCTCTCCCCTACTTGTGCATCTTCATTGTTTATTATTTTAAACATCAATTCCTGTGATTGTTTACTAACAGTTCTTAGTTGCTTAAAAATCATTTTAAAAATGTTTTTACACACATATAAAATAATTTTAAAATATTTTTTTTTTTTTTTTGTAGCCATCTGGTTACTACCACGATATAACCAATATTCTAGTTGGCCTGCATCTGGGGAAATAGACATTATGGAGAGTAGGGGCAACAGGCAATTAACCAATGCTGCCGGTTTAAACATCGGCGTCCAACAAGTAGGAAGCACCCTCCATTGGGGACCAAATCCTAATTACAATCAATATTCACGAACACATTTTGAAAAAAATTTGGAAACTGGCTATGACCAAGCTTTCCACAACTACCAGGTAGAATGGACTCCAGACTACATTAAATTTGCAATTGACGATCAGGAGATTGGAAGAGTAACGCCTTCGGCAGGAGGATTTTGGGAGTTGGGTCAATTATCTTCATCAGGCTTAGACAACCCTTGGAAACGAGATTCAAAGATGGCTCCGTTTGACCAAGAATTCTACATAATTATTAACTTAGCTGTAGGCGGTGTGAACTATTTTCCAGATAATGCTAACAATCGTCCAGGTGGTAAGCCTTGGTCAAACACATCACCTAATGCTGCCACTAACTTTTGGGAAGGTAGAGAACAGTGGCTTCCTACCTGGAATATTGGAACGGAAGATTCGCATTTACAAGTTGATTATGTTAAAGTGTGGGCTATATAATATGATTATTTAATATTAGAAATAAATTTCAAAATATTGTTTTACACCTATTTTATCACGACAATTAATTCTGGTTATTTAGTTATTCCAATTAATCCTATGCTAAAATTTAGCCTTCATTGCAAATCTGTGTAGTTCTTTAATTATCTTATGGTATATAGTTTATATGATTTTGTATATTTCATAAATATTTAAAGCCTATGATAATGTACCGATAACCAAACTGTTATGAAACTAATGATATGAAAAATTCCATAAAGAACTAGAAGCTACATACCATTCATGCCCAAAGAATGACATCAAAATTATTTATGGTGATCTCAACGCAAAAAATAGGAAAAGTGTAACAATACCTACCAACTATAGGTAAGCACAGCCTTCATAAGTATCCAATGACAATGGCATCAGACTAATAAATCTAGCAACTTTCCTTAACATGGTCTTTGCCAGCACATGCTTCCAGCGAAAAAATATTTATAAAGAAACGTGAAGATCTCCAGATATGGTTACAGTAAACATGATCGATCATGTTATTATTGACTCTAAACATCACTCAGACGTAATAAACGTATGCAGCAGACGAGGGTCAAATGCAGACTTGGATCACTACCTAGTGGAAAGTAGAATAAGAGCCAGAATCTCAAACATTAACAAAGAAAAGGGGTCCAAAATTGAAAAAGATGAAATAAAAAACTTAGCAGACAACAACAAAAAGGCAAAATACAAAGTATATATAAAAGAAAGGCTAGAAAACAAACTAAAGCATGAGGATATAAACAGAGAATGGGAAGCGTGTAAACACATCCAAGATGCAGCCAAAGAGACCCTAGGTCTACAAAAAAAACTTAAATCAACTGAAGGACAGTGGTTCGATGAATAGTGTCGTAACATAACAGAGAGGAAAAATAATGCATATCAACGACTACAGCAACGACATAGAACACGAAAGGCAGAGGAGGAATATAGAATGCTAAGGAGTGAAGAGAAAAAATACATCGCTGAAAGAATAGAGAACAGATAGAAAAACAAATCCAAGAAATTGAAGAACTAAATAAACCATCAGGAACCACAAAATTCTACCAAAAACTTGAAAACAAAAGTGGAAAAGAATTTAAACCATGAACAATGATGTGCAAAGACAAGAAGGGGAGAGTAACTCAACAGAGTGAAATACTACAAAGATGGATAGAATTCTTCAAAGAAAAGTTTGAAAAAAACGAAGTTCCACTATATGGTGGAATTATACTAGATCAAACGGATTCCAGAGAAACAACCCACCCTCCTTTCAGTAGCTGAAATGCAAGAAGCCGTTACCAGACTGAAAAACAACAAGTCACCTGGATTTGACAACATTAGCGCAGAATTAATAGAGAAAGGCGGAGACTCCATATTGAATGCGATACACGAACTAATATTGAACATATTGAATAATAAACATCTGCCACTAGACTGGAATACCGGAGTAATTATCCCACTACATAAAAAGGGAGATCAGCTTCAATGTAAATTGCACTACCGGACAATAACGCTACGTACTGTGGCATACAAAATACTGTCAAATATTGTGTATGACCGATTAAGACCATATGCGAAACAAATAATTGGGGGATATCAATGTGGGTTCTGCAGGCAGAACTTCACAATAAATCAGATCTTCGTCTTGAGGCAAATCTTGAAGAAGGCTAGGAATTTAATATAGACACACATTATCTTTTCATTGATTTTGAGAGTGCCCATGATAGCAAACATCGAGAATTTCTGATCCATGCACTGAAAGAGTTTATTATTCCAACTCAACTCATTAATATAATAAAAGATACACTTCAATTACAAAGCAAAATTCGAATTCAAACCGCACTAACAGATACAATCCATGTGAGAACGGGCCTACGACAGGGAGATGCCCTATCCTGTATTCTATTCAACATCACATTAAAGAAAATAATTAGAAGGTCAAAGTCAATACCGGAGGAACAATAATAACAAAAAGTGTACAAATATTGGCATTTGCAGATCATGTTGATTTCATAGCTAGAAGTGAAAGGGAGATGATAGCAAGCATTTAATGCGATAGAAAGAGCGGCACAAAACAGTGGCCTAAATATTAATGAAATAAAAATCAAATACATGAACGCCAGCAAATCGACAGGCCAAAGAAACCTACAGAATCTGACAATACGAGACTATAACATCGAAAGTGTCAAAAGTTTTACATATCTAGGTTCACTAGTTACCGCAGATAACAATGTCAGTGAAGAAGTTAAGAGAAGAATACATATTCTATTATAGTAACGTACTCGTTACAATGGAACCCATACCACTACGACACTGTTATGATCTGATAGTATGTCGAGTACCTCTTGGCATTCCCACACTAGTCTAGAGTCTACCTTAGGACTTATAGCTGCTTGACTATAATTTAGAATCTTGGACTCGCATAAAAAGCAGTGAAGACTGTTTAGTGATGTTTTGAGAGGAAGGTACAGAGGAGAGAGAAAGAAAAATTTACTGAGAGGTAAAGAAAAAGGTAAAATAGAAGATATGAGAAACATGTGATTGACAGATGAGGATAATGGATAGGAAAGATTGGAGAAAAATTCTTGAGGAGGGTATGACACACCTATAGTTGTAAATCCAGAATGATGATAATAAGTACTAAAAAACAATAAACCACTTTATTTCAAAGTAAATGTATATAATTTTTATATTCAAATCACTAATACAATAGAACCATAAAATAATTTGGTAAGATTCATAACATTGCAGTGTTATTTATATTATATGATATAATACTACTTTGGTGAACAAGTAAAGTCTCGGTACAAATGAATATCTTTAAAAACAACAACGTGCTACATTGACTGACCTAAGTTAAACAGAAAAAATGGTACTTAAGTATTTGAGGGTCATATTACATTTAAAATCTACAGCTGGGAGAAGGAATGTAAATAAATATATACAACAGCAAATTAAAAGATATTTAGACATTCAATGAGGATCTGTTGTTGGCCCAGAATTGGTGAGCTGATACTGCTAATGTTATCAGGTATAGAAGAGCAGCAATCCAGCAGTTGTAGGCGTTCTAAAAACATAAAATGTAATTAAATATTAATTGTACTCATTTTATACAATAGATGTTTAAAAAGTTATTATTAAAGAAAGGTTTAAATGCCAATCTCAATGAAACTTCTTACAGGAAACAATGCAATACTGTAAAAGAAAAATAATGCCTGGCATTTACAGAACAAAGATCTATGATCTATATTAAATAATTCAAGTGTTTTAACAATTTTAATTAATTAACTTAATGAGTCAAAAGTATTTTGCAAATGTCTATTAAATAAGTTGGTAGAAATGTGGCTAAAAATATGTGGTTGTGTGGACTAGATTAGTCTTGCAGACTAATAGCAAATGGACATTGGGTGTCCAAATGTGGAAGACCACTTTTGGAATAAAGAAACTTCGGGACATACTTATATCATTTGAATCTACAACAATTTTATGCAAATGGTAAAAGTTTCTGCAAATATTTTCTTTGCTATCAAATATAAAGTAATATAGTTCTCATAAAAGATTTTACCAAATAAAAACATTAAGGCACTGCTTCATTTCTTCTTCTTCCTCTTTGTGCGACTAGGATTACTCCTGTTTGCCTCTTATTCTGTTTCAGTCGTTGTTGACTGTACATTATCTTTCCACCTTTTTGGCAATCTTCCAACGGGTCTTCTGCTACATGGCTTGTTGTGTTTACAGAAGTTCGCTAATCTATCTGGTCCCATTTGGATTACTCCTGTTTGTCTGCCTCTTATTCTGTTTCAGTCGTTGTTGACTGTACATTATCTTTCCATCTTTTTGGCAGTCTTCCAACGGGTCTTCTGCTACATGGTTTGTTGTGTTTACAGAAGTTCGCTAATGTATCTGGTCCCATTTGGTTTACATGTTCATTCCAGTTTTTTTCTTCTTTTTATCCACCTGTTAATATTTTGAATTTTGCATTGTTGATGTAACTGCTTCATTTCACAAGCAATATTAAAAATTAGCAAAAATGGAAGGGTCAAAAAATAGAAAGACCATGGATGTCCCAATATAACTCAATTGAATCTATTTTATCTGTTCCAGATTGTAAAATGCTTCAAATACTACATTTGTGATCTTAAAGGGACTAAAGAAAGTTGTGGCATGTGGTGTTAGAGATAGATAAACTTTCTCAGTGGGTAAATAAAAAAGATCATGAAAAAACTATAAAACCTAAATGCAAATATAAAGAGTTAGGTCTAATCAGAGATTCCAAATTATTCTTAGTAGCATAAATAATTATAAATGAATAAATCAACAATTAATTAAATAGACATTATCAATGTTAATATAACTGCCTAATATAAAACCTATATTATTTTATTGGTATCCTTGAGTTATTCTTTCGTTGTAGTTAGTAAGTTGGTATCATGGTAATTATCAATATAATTTAAGATTTGTGTGTTCCTTGTTTAAAAGTCTCTTGTATTCAAATATATTTTTGTGATCCTGAACTTTAATAAATCTTTTTTCATCAACATTTGTTTTAATAACATAGAATTAAAACAATATAATATGGTTATCATATAAATATATAAAAATAATAAGGCGAGCATTATTTTTCTGTAGTGACAGGATTCGTTTCAATTATCTGTTATTGTCCCATGATTTATCTTATTTAGATCATCAATATGGGGAATGTTAATACTTTTAAAATAACTCAGTTTCGCTCCTGCTAGAATTTGAACTGGGACCTCACAAATTATAGTAAAACAATGTACCTAGCTGTTACCAGATTTCCTAATTAATTAAATCAAGTAGGTACTTCAAAACTTTAACATTCATGAACAATTTGTTTACATTACAGGTAATACTCTGTAGTTCAATGTCTTTACAAAAAATGTTCCTTAATTTCATTATCACATGGGTGTAGTTGTCCAAGACAACTAATTATAAAATTTTATCTTTGAATTCATTTTCATAACAGTCCCTTTAGTACAAAAGTGGCTACAAATGTAGTTAAAGGGTTGGGGGGTGAATATGGAAGTTAAAAACAAAAGGGCATTTCTTTACCTGAGTAAAACCTGTATTGACGTCGCTGTAAAATTTGTCTAAATCGCCCTTAAATTCAACTGCTGGAATATCTTCTGCTAAAGCCACAGCCCCAATGTAATAGAATACACCCATTAGACCCTAAAAATTAACATAAATTAAATATTTACTTTAACACTATACACAAATCACATACCAACTGGATAATGCCCCATGCACTGATAATAAGCCCGCAAAGGGACAATTTAGGACCACAGAAAGGCATTTTGAACTAAATTGGTATTCGCCTACAATTTAGTTTTCTCAAAATGTCATGTGATAATCTGACAATTTCAGGACTAAAATATCGTGACTTAATCAGAATGACAGGTTTTCCTAATTTAGATTCTGCGCCATACATCGATAGTTTTCAAAAGACACATGATATACAATCGATACTTTGGAGAAATTTGCAAAACCCAATCAATCAAAACGAAATGTTTTTTTGTATTCTACAATGTAATAACTTTGTATGGTTTGATTGAAAAATATGAAAAATATAATAGTTTCTTATCTGTATCTGGAACCGGTACTAGATGATATTACCTTTGAATTATTAGAAAGCCAATTACTCGTATAAAGTGTTGCCTGCTTTTGAATAAATTAGTAATTTTACAATAAAGATTTCGATTATCCTAGGAACCTGTTTCCATTTACATTGTTTTAGGAGTCAGTACTCTCTATCCAGCCGTTCCTGAATACTTGAATATCGTAGAAATACAAACAGAGAACTAATTAAACGGCCAAGGAGCAGTGTACTGGTTAAAGCGAGCAATATATACCATGTAATCATACAAATCCCAGGAATAGATGGAACTTTCTGAGCTTACCAGTTAGGCAAGAAGAAATTCTACCACATACCACAAGAATCGCTCAAGGCAGCTTAGAACTGGAATACCACTGTACCTGAAATATGAAGAAGGGATTAAGTTGCTTTTCATTCCAAAATAGATAAAAAATTACCCATGTATTCAAAGTCTTTAACACGCTTTTAAAAACAAAAGATTTTATCGAAATTTATTGACCGAAGATCGTCTACAATTTCTTTCTGAAAATAATGACCAATCTTTCCAGGCATCTTTTATAGAAGAAAACTCAATAACACCAACGGAAATGAAGAAAATCCTAAAGGTAATGAAAAATAAATGAGATTTAGGAAAACTGTTCGATTTTAATTCGTCTTTAAATCGACCGCGCTAGAAATCGATTAAACATATTTTTTCGATAACTTCTGGTTACGTTGGCGTTCAGCGCCATCTATACAATCGCCACAGCGCAATCAGTAGAATCGGGCAAATTCCAAAAAAAAATTAGAGGTTATTTATTAAGTGATTATCAGCAATTGAAACCACTTGATCGCGGCTAGAGAGGCCCGAGCAGTGGAAATTTAAAATATTTGGATTTTTTTAAAAAGTTCGTTGTGAATATATTATAATCATGGCATCCTGTATTCGAATTATAAGTCGAGTGAGTATCTATGATTTATAAAAAAATTACGTCTCGATTAATTATTACATATGAATATATAATATTCTTTATTTCTTAATCTTGGTATACTTTTTTTATTGTCTTTCGTTTATTTTTACAGAACGACTTTTTGAAAAAGATTTTGATTATGTAACTTGTCCATCTATTTAAAATAGGATTTGCACTCAATAGTTCAAATATTAGATAACTTTTTTAGCTTTAATTTTTTTTAGTTCACTAAATAAGTTTACAATATATACTCAAGTATAAAATACAAACCATTTAATTATTCTAAATGCGATGAAAACGAAGTCAAATAAATTAGAGTACTAATTTTCGGATTGTTAATTAACATATTTCTATTGATAGCCTGACTTTTTAAAATCAAATTTGCACTGGGTCAAAAAAAGGAACATCAAACAGTCGCGATATTTCAAATAAAAGATGTAGTTGCAATCTGAGCCTACTTTATTTGGCTGAATATTCAAAGAAAATTTAAAGAAGTTTCTAAGCACTAATACATTGGAAATAAATTCTCTGTGCTATATTCATGAATTCAGGATATTCTCTGGACTATATTTGTCCATCACAAAATGAAAGAATACTGAAGCCAAAGTTCAATAGCAAAAAGAATAGGTACAAAGAATATACCATTCAATACCAAAACAACAAACTTGTACCAAGTTGATAGATATAAGTATTTGGAGATTACAGTACATGAATCAAATGAATTAGTTACTGATTAAAAAAAAATTTAAGTATTATGTATCATTCATAGAGCAATACAACTACTGTTTGTACTGTACTGTAGGAAATACTACTGAACTATTTATGATCATGTCTTACACCTTTACATAATGTATGCTTCTGGATGTTTGTTCATTGATTCTAATCTTGTCACTTTGTTCCAATGAACACTTTATTCTAACATTTTATGATGGTCAGCACGATCAAATGTTTTAAAGTTAATAAATAAAGTAAAACTTTTATTGTCATACTACAATCATACTGATTGGAGAGAAAACAAAACCTCTCTCATCCCCACTCTACAATATTTAGTAAAACTTTGAGTGCTTGAGGGCAATGATGTTTTTCAATGATATGTGAATATATATATATATATATAATATATATATATATATATATATATATATATATATATATATATAATCAAAATAAAAAAACAATTTACCTCAGACACATAATATATGACAGATATAACTTTGTTTATTTCTTATATTTTAATATTAGTAATGCTTTATTTTTGTTTTGTTGCAGACGACTAATTCCAAAAGTCTCATGTTCAGTGAGATCCAATCAAGATGCTTTCATGTATCACCCCTGGCGGCTGCTGCAGCTAAGGTTGCAATGAGCAAATTGGATACTGATCCAATTCCATACGAGAAACTAAACAAAACTCTTGGGGTAGTCAAGAAGAGGTTAGGAAGACCATTAACTCTTTCTGAAAAAGTCTTATACTCCCACATTGATCAACCAGAATCCCAGGTAAGTAAGAAGATAAAATTGAGAATAGTTTTTCTTTCAAATTCAAATTATTTTAAAAATTTTGCAATTTATTGTTATAAGAAACCCGTTTTTTAAAGTAGTACCTACTACCCATATTCGAAATAGTTTTTATTAAATAGATGGAATCAGCATGTTACAGGATTTTAGATCTTAGTTCATAAAATGTACTGCTACATAGCTGACCCGGCAAGCTTTGTACTGCCTTAGAATATATAAATGTTTTCTTAAATTATTAGCTGAGTTATATTAACTTTTTTATATTAAGATCACATTAAGTTGAATGAAATTAAAAAAGCAATTTACGTGGTGGTAAAGTAACCATTTGCTGAATGGATTACCTTGAATTATTTTAGTTGAAGACCTTGTGATATACTATATTTTTCGGTGTGTTGCCAGGCACGAAAATGAACATAAGGATGGTTTACCTACACGTGAACATACTACATACAATTGACCACGAAAGAAACAATGATTTAATTATTAAATTCCAATGGTGTATCCATTGGTATCATTGGAATTCTCAGAATGAGAATTTTGTTTGAAATGAGAATGAGAGTTGTCGTGAGTATTATAGTTGATCCTATTTTATGAGTGGGTCAGTCTCTTTTGTTTATGTTATCTTCTTGACAATATCTCTCCATTTTTTCCTTCTCCAGTTTTTCTTCAACTGCCCTTTGGAGGTCTTCTTCAACTTCTTGCAACCACTTTGATCTTTAGTCTTACCCTTCTCTTTCTTCCTCCTGGATTCCATTCTTTCATTGTGTATGTCACTGCCTCATCTCCTGCTCGCTAAATGTGACCTAACCATCTAACTCTGCATTGCTTTATTTTAGTTACGATGTCTTCCTTAAGTTCTTCCTTAATCTCTGCATTTGTTCTGATGGTCCGTTCTGATTGCTTCTAGTATTCTTAAGCTATTCTTAAGTCTTCTTCATCATTTTTAACCATCATCATTGTTTCTTCTGCATATAATATATTGGCCTAATTATGGTATTATAAATGTTCATCTTAGTTTTCTTAGTCAGTGTTTTGCTTTTAAATAACTTTTTATTTGCAAAATTAGCTTTATTCGCTGCTAATATTTTTTCTTTTATTTCAGACTTCCTTTCTCCGGATTTGCTTATTAAACTCCTAGGTATTTGAAGTATTCTACCTCTTCAAACTCAGAACTTCCTATTTCGATTTTTTATTTCATTGGCTTTTTCCCTAATCTTAATATTTTTGTCTTTTCTTGATTTAATCTTATCCCCATTTCCTCCCCTTTCTCTCTTATTTCTTCTAGCATTTCTTTCATTATCTTCCTGTTCTTTGCAATAATAGCAATATAATCTGCATATGCAATTATTTGACCACCTCTTCTTTGAGATTTCCTTTATTTATATATCATAGTACATATTCTAATGCTAGATTAAATAGCGTTGTTGATAAGGCATCTCCTTGTTTCATTCCTTTATTTATACTGAATTCCTCTGTCTCTTGTCTTTGAGTCTTTAAGCTTATTTTTGTAGTTCTCATTGTCATTTCTATTAATTTTCTGAGTTTATGTGGAATTTTTACTTTTTCTAAGTGCTATCATTAATCTGTTCGTTTTAATTGAATCAAATGCCTGTTTGAAGTCTATGAATAACATTTCCAATTCTAATTTATATTCATTTGCTATAATTATATTTATAATTTTCATAGATTTGTTGTTTTCTCTTTTCATGTATTGTTATGATCTGCCCTACCTCCCAGTCCCCTGGCATTTTCTCTTCTTTCCATATATTTTTCAATAGTGCCAGTATTTTTCCCCTTAGTTCCCTTCCTCTGTATTTTATTAGTTCCATGTTAATTCCATCTTTACCAGGGCCTTTTCCATTTTGCTTCTCTGTATTTCTTCATACAATTCCTCTAATGTTGGTACTTTTGAAATTTCGATCTACTTTCGGTCTACTTCATCTACTTCGTCTGCTTCTTCGTGCACCGTTTCCCTCCATGATCGGTGCACAATTTCGTAATCCCTCCATACTTGCTTGTATTCTTGATCCTCTAGTATCACTGTTCCACTCTATTTTTTATTCCGTTTGTTTTGCCTTTTTATTTTTTTTTGTTCTTTAATTTTTTGTAAAAATTTTTCGTATTTCTGTTTGTTCTTTCCTGCTCTATTTCCTACATTTTTTCGTCTACTCATCTTCTTTTATTTTGCCTTATCACTTTCTTAACCTTCCTTCTTAATTTTTCATATTCTTCTCTGTCTTCCTCTTTATCTGTTCTTAGCCATTTATTTCTGGCTTGGTTTTTTTTCTGTTAGATCTCTACATTCTTGGTTATAC